ACTGAAGTGAAACAAAAAGAGATGAAACAGCCTCAGAAAGCTCTGAAAAAACCTAGCAACATAAAGAATGAAGTGGTCACTCCATGTGTTGTTTTTAAACATAAAGAACCTATCAGATCAGAGACGTGTGGGGCGGGGGTTAAAGCAGCTGTCAGCTGTACAGTCTGTGAGGAGAACTGTCACTATCCTGGATGCACGGTGCCCTTAAATCACTGTGAGGTCTTTAGAGATGGTCTCTGCACGTCATGTACCAACAAGTGTGCTGCATCAGTGCATGTGAAAGAAAACTGGAGATATGTGACCAGGATAAGGAGCGGTCAGGAGAATGAACCACCAACAAAAGAGAAGGATGTTGATTTACTTGGAAAGGAAATGAACCGACTGACAGCTGAGAAGGAAAAGTGGTTCAATGAGTCCTACCAACATGTAGTCAGACTGGAGCAGATCGCTCTGAAAGCTGATTCAGCACCCACTATTGTCCACTTGGACTTCCTGATTGAGAAGATGAAGGAGGAAAGAGACACAGAGAAGGTCCAGAAACTGGAGGAGATGAGGGGAGGGAGAGAGGATGAAGGAACCAAAGAAGCACAGCGGTATGTTAAACTGACAGCACTTACAGAAAAGTGACTGTAGTTTATAATTATTAATAAAAAATGTAGTTCATTTAAATTTTAATTGTAATAATTATAATTAATTACTATTTTCTTTTCAAAGGTATATGATAAATAAGAGTATAAAGATTAATGACACTGCTGAAACACATCAGTGAAAGTTTGTCCTGGGTTTATTTCACTCTCAGCGTTCAAACTGTTTCCCCTCTCACACAACAATAATGAACTATATATATATATATAAAAAAACACCCAGCACGCCCCTGCGGGCGGTTTATCCTTTAAGCTCGGGTCCTCTACCAGAGGCCTGGGAGCTTGAGGGTCCTGCGCAGTATCTTAGCTGTTCCCAGGACTGCGCTCTTCTGGACAGAGATCTCCGATGTTGTTCCCGGGATCTGCTGGAGCCACTCGCCTAGCTCGGGAGTCACCGCACCTAGTGCTCCGATTACCACGGGGACCACCGTTACCTTCACCCTCCACATCCTCTCTTCTCTGAGCCCTTGGTATTTCTCCAGCTTCTCGTGTGCCTTCTTCCTGATATTGCTGTCATTCTGAACCGCTACATCGATCACTACGGCCGTCTTCTTCTGTTTGTCTACCACCACTATGTCCGGTTGGTTAGCCACCACCATTTTGTCCGTCTGTATCTGGAAGTCCCACAGGATCTTAGCTCGGTCATTCTCCACCACCCTTGGGGGCATCTCCCATTTTGACCTCGGGACTTCCAGGTTATACTCGGCACAGATGTTCCTGTACACTATGCCGGCCACTTGGTTATGGCGTTCCATGTATGCCTTGCCTGCTAGTATCTTGCACCCTGCTGTTATGTGCTGGATTGTCTCTGGGGCATCTTTACACAGCCTGCACCTGGGGTCTTGCCTGGTGGGATAGACCCCAGCCTCTATGGATCTTGTACTCAGAGCTTGTTCTTGTGCTGCTATGATTAGTGCCTCTGTGCCGTCTTTCAGTCCAGCTTTGTCCAGCCACTGGTAGGATTTCTGGATATCAGCCACCTCCTCTATCTGCCGGTGGTACATACCGTGCAGGGGCCTGTCCTTCCATGATGGTTCCTCGTCTCCCTCCTCTTTCTTGGGTTTCTGCTGCCTGAGGTATTCACTGAGCACTCGGTCAGTTGGGGCCATCTTCCCAATGGATGTTCGTTGTCTCATCCTGGACTGTGGTGCTGACACTCACCAGTCCCCGGCCCCCTTCCTTCCACTTAGCGTACAGTATGTCTGCAATGTTGCCTTCTGGTAGTTCAATCCCCTCAGTTCTGACTACCTTCCCTCTCTTTGTTACCATCCGACTACACTTCTCCAGTCCGAACGACATTCCAATGTCATTGCTGTATAGCCTGGTAGTGTGGATCAGTGAATGGATGTCTCGTTCACTCTTGGCATACAGCTTGATGTCATCCAAGTACAGGAGGTGGCTGACAACTGCTCCATTCCGTAGTCGGTATCCGTAGCCAGTCTTGTTAATGATCTCACTGAGGGGATTCAGGTCTATGCAGAACAGCATTGGGGACAGAGCATCTCCTTGGTAGATCCCGCACTTGATGGTGACTTGTGCTATGGGCTTGGAGTTGGCCTCTAGTGTTGTACGCCACATCCCCATTGAGTTCCTGATGAAGGCTCTTAGGGTCCCATTGATCTTGTACAATTCTAGGCATTCCAGTATCCAGCTGTGGGGCATTGAGTCATAGGCCTTCTTGTAATCAATCCAGGCAGTGCACAGGTTGGTCAGTCTGGTCTTGCAGTCTCGGCTGACTGTTCTGTCTACCAGTAGCTGGTGTTTTGCGCCTCTGGTATTCTTGCCAATTCCTTTCTGTGTCCCGCTCATGTATTGACCCATGTGCCTGTTCATCTTAGCCGATATGATGCCTGACAGGAGCTTCCATGTAGTACTGAGGCAGGTTATTGGTCGGTAGTTGGAGGGGATCAGGACCGTCCGACCTTCGGTTAGCCATTCCGGGTGTCTCCCGTTAACTAGCAGCTGGTTCATTTGTGCTGCCAGACGCTCGTGGAGTGCAGTCAGCTTCTTTAGCCAGTAGGCATGAACCATGTCGGGCCCTGGTGCTGTCCAACTCTTCATACTGGAGACCCTTTCTTGGATATCTGCCACTGTGATGGTTACTGGACCCTGTTCAGCGAGGTTGCTGTGGTCTGCCCTCAGATCCACTAGCCACTGAGCATTGCCGTTATGGGTTGCGTCCTTCTCCCATATGCTCTTCCAGTAGTGCTCCGTCTCCAGCCTTGGTGGTGCTGTTCTCTTATTATTATTGTTCCCTTGCCACTGAGAGTACAGCTTTGCTGGTTCTGTGGAGAACAGCTGGTTTATTCTCCTGCCTTCTATCTTTCTGGTGTACCTCCTCAAGCGGCTGGCCAAGGCTGTGAGTCTTTGCTTGGCAGTTTCCAAGGCCTCAGGTATGGACAGCTTGCTGTATTTCTTATGCACCTTCTTTGTCGCACCTTTCTGCAACTCCGTTAGTTGGCTAACCTCACTCCGTGCTACTTTGATCTTGTCCTCTAGCCTCCTTCTCCATGGAGGGTACTGCCCCTTGTGGCTGTTCAACTTGTAGCCAAGCATCTCACTGATCACTGCTGCCGTATTGTAGATCAGCTTGTTAGTGTCGGTAATCGTGGTTGTAGGTATTGTCCGTAGTGCTGCATTAACATCATCTAGCAGACCTTCTGAGGGTACTTCACGTAATCTTGGTAACCGGCTACGGGGATCCAGGTTTCAAGCTTGGCCATGATCCTATTTTTCAGGTCAGTTCCTCTCGCACTCAACGATCCTTCTCCTATCGCACTTGGGGCTATGTACCCAATCTCGGGTGGGGCTGATGATATCTCCCCCCTGACCTGGCGTCCTGACTCCTCCTTTCCGTAGCATTTATGTTGTACCTCGTCAATCTCTAGCTGTGAGAGCAGTCCCTTCTTTCGAATGTTGGAACACTGAGCTACTAGTTGTTTCGCCGTCATTGTGGATGTTGGGTATCGAAGAATCCTTAGGTCCGTCATCCTATTCATGTAGCCCCTTCTGCCAGGGTTACTTGCGTAGTAGCATTCCAACAATGCCCTGTTGTTGGACAACATATATATGTGTGTGTATATATATATATATATATATATATATATATATATATATATATATATATATATATATATAGATAGATAGATAGATAGATAGATAGATAGATAGATAGATAGAGAGAGAGAGAGAGAGAGGAGAGAGAGAGAGAGAGAGAGAGATTAACTGCATAAGAAAAAACCTGATTCTCATGACTGGATTTGAATGTTAGGTATAGCAATCTATTTTTTCTCATAAAGAAACTGGAATCCATCAGTGTTTTGTGTGAAAACATGACAAAACTATAAAGACAAAACATCTGGTTTAAAGGAGGGAGAATTACACCAACCTTCTTATACTGAACTGAAACTACAACAGTGTGCAAAAAAACAAATTAGTCCAGCATTTTATTCCCAGATCATCATGGCCACTTCAACCAGCTGGGAACCATGGCCTCAGATGGTGCTGATTCTTATCTGTGTCACTATAAAGAGAGGGTTACAGCTGGAGGTCATTGTTCAGTCAAGGACTAACTATTTCAGTTAATGGAAAATAAATGTTAAATAGAGTCTAACTGAAGCAGTAATGCCAATTTTTGTATCAAAATAAAAAATAAAATCAACTGAAATGATTTTGGGATGTTAACTTGTCTGTTAACTGCTGCTAAGTGCTTTGAGAAAGTGTCACTTACTGTGCTGTACTGTACTGTGACACCCGCTCTTGAAGGATTTAAATCTGCCCAGAATATCATGCCAATATAATACTGACAATAAAAACTAACACTGTAGGAATCCAGGCCAGCAACAGCTATGATCCACCCAGCTGATGTCATGCCAGCCCAATTAAAGGTTGCGGTGAAAAAATATTTGTTCATCCTGTGAATTACAAATAAAGAAATAAAAACAGAAGCTGTCTTCTGTTTACGTGGGCAGTGTACAGTCAGCCTCCACTGTCACTTTTGTCTCAGGAATATATAAAGTATAATATAAAGTAACAGTGTGACCACGAATGCTTTGAGAGAGCAGACGGGAAAAAAAGAATCTAATTGAAAAATAGAAAATAAAAGCTTTTATTCTATGTGATTTTTGATTCTGGCCAGAAAATGATCAGCTCAGTTTTCAGTGTACAAACTAACAACAGGAACATGTTCGTAATGTTTACGTTTGTACTGAAGACATTTTTGCTTTACTCTGCAGGATCAGTTTGATCTCATCACCACACGAAGACATCATTTTAAATAGTTTTATCATCAGTTCAGGACCTCCTGCTGTCTACCAGCTGAGACCAAAGAAAGAGAACATTGGAACTCTGACAAGAATGACTGTTGGAGAAAAAAATCAATACAAGACAAACAGAACCATCTTACTTGTGGGAGAAACAGGAGCAGGAAAATCTACTCTGATCAACGCTCTGCTCAACTACACCATGGGAGTGAAGTGGGAGGATAGAGTCTGGTTTCAGATCGTAGAGGAGAAGAAGAAGAGAGGTCAAACAGGAGGTCAGACAGAAAGTCAGACATCAGATGTGATCGTGTACGAAATCTTTGGTTTTGAAGATAAAACCCTGCCCTACTCTCTGACCATCATCGATACTCCTGGATATGGAGACACCAGAGGGACTGAACATCATGACATCATCAGTCACAGATTGTTGGACTTGTTTGGATCAGATGATGGAGTCCATGAAGTTCATGCAGTGGGTCTGGTGATGAAGGCGAGTGATAATCGACTGAGTGACCGACTGCTGTATGTCTTTGATTCAGTGATGTCTCTGTTTGGAAAAAACTTGGAGAAAAACATCATAGCTCTGATCACACACTCAGATGGAAGCAGACCTGAAAGCCCTCTTAAAGCTCTTGAAGTTGCAAAAATTAAATGGGCTAAAAATGAGAAGAATAAGCCTGTTTTCTTCCTGTTTAATAACTCACAGTATGAAGACCGAACAGAAGAAAATAACTCCTCAAAGCATTCATGGGAACTCACACAGGAAAACATGAATCAGTTGACAGACTTCATGGGAAAATCTAATCCTCAAAAACTGATGAAAACAGGTGAAGTGCTAAATGAACGAATCAGACTGAAAGCCTGCATCCAAAACCTGAAAGAGAGAATCAAGCTGGCTGAACTGAAACAGACAGAAATCAGACAAAAGAGAGAAGCTCTGAAGAAACATGAAGAAAAACAACGAGAAGAAAAGAAAAAGCTTGAAGAAGCTAAAAAAATCTACGAAACTCTAAAGAACCAAGGAGAACAGAAACATGAAGAAGCTCTAAAAATACAACAAACTATAAAAGAACATGAAGCAGAGATGAAGAGGAATGAGAATTTCACTGTAGAAGTTGATGAAGTCTACAAAGAGAAAGAAGCCATTGATGGTGGGATGAGATTGTTGTTTTACAGAGGAGCTGTCTGCTGTACAGTCTGTGAGGAGAACTGTCACTATCCTGGATGCACAATGGCCTGGAACCCTGCACACTGTGAAGTCATGAAAGGAGGTCACTGCACTGTTTGTACCAAGAAGTGTCCTGCATCAAAACATGTGAAAGAAAAGTGGACATATATGACCAAGACAAGGAGGGTAATGAAGACGAATGAACAAATGAAAAAGAAGTATGAGAAGAATGTGTCAGAATGTGAGATGAAAGCCAGAGAGTTAAAAACTGTTACAGAGGAAGTGGATGAAACAAAGAAAACAGCAGCTGATTCATCACTAAACAAACAAGAAATGCAGCAGAAATATGAAAAGTATCAAAAAGAAAAAGAGAAGGAGTGTACCCTGTTAAAAAATCTTGAAAATGAAATGAAACAGCTGATAGCCGAGAAGTCCCAGTTCCTGAATGAGTCCTACCAACATGTTGTCAGACTGGAGCAGATCGCTCTGAAAGCTGAATCAGCGTCCACTATTGTCCACTTGGACTTCCTGATTGAGAAGATGAAGGAGGAAAGAGACACAGAGAAGGTCCAGAAACTGGAGGAGATGAGAAGGAGGGTGGATGAAAAAACCGAAAAAGCAGCATATTGGTACAAGTTTACTCAAGCACCATCAGCTATCAGAAACATTGGGAGATCCTTGGTCTGGCGTAAGTGAAGCATGTAAAGAAGCATCATGCAGCTGTGTGAATGGCTTTTTTTCTGACACACTCTATGCTACATGTTCAGATGTACACAACATGGCTTTTTGTTGTTGTTGTTTTTGCTGACAGATGGCATATTACTTCTAAAAAAGCCTGTTATTGATTATTGATCAGCACTGACGTCTCTACTTAGAGATCAGTCAGTTTGTTTAGCAGTTCTTTGGTCCTAAGGAGAAGTTACTGTGGCTCACTGTTTGTTTTATGCATCTGACATCAAATCTGTACCAAATACAACATGTGGCTCTGTGTGCTTTGGTGATGCCTGCAGAAAAATGTCGATTGCTTCCAACATTAGTTTCATCTCAAGAAAAAAAATGTTATGAAGGAATTTTCCAAATATGTGGGAAATGTCATTGAATTTATATCATTTATACATGACATGAAAATGATTGATCAGTAAAAATATGATGACCTTTCTATCAAAGTTCTCAGTAGTCAGTATAATCTTTTAATGATATAAGTTTGCATATAGTAGAATAGTGCATGTTGAGCTTTTGATGACTTAGGCTGTTGGGTGGTGATGATGGGTTTAAATTTTATTATTGTAATTTGTATTAAGAAATATTTAACCATATATGCTTGATAGGATGTGTGATCCGTAATAGTCTGCAAAGGAGAACACTCTGCATTCCAGAGTGCTCTGGCATTCACGCCCACATCCTGGGAGCATGGGGGAGGTCGTACCTGCTCTTATTGTTTTATGGTAGGATAAACGTAGCTATATCTGTTTTAGTCTAAGTGCCTTTTGTTTAGATGAACTGTTGGACTTCCAGACCAGCAGGTTTAGGGAAGTCTTTATGGGGTCACACTATGACCAGGGGCAGGGGGCGAGTCCCGGAGCCCTCACTTAAGAATATATCTCTTGACATTTATTTTGGTCCTCTTTTAATCATGTGGTGATATTATTTTGTATTTTTATAGTGGCTGATAGTCAATTCAGTGAGATGAATTGATTTTTGATGCGGACATAAGGGTCTCCTTCTAAGACGGGAACATCATTTGTGCTTTCATATTTTATCCAGTCATTTAAACACATGTATGTGGGAAGCCGAGCACGATCACCCAAAAAGCATCGATCTTCCCAGAGCAATAAATGAGCAGTCGTATATATAACATAGTTGATGACGAGCATCACGCGTCAAAGCAGATAACTAACATGCATCAGTTCCAGTAATTCCGACCTTGGACACATTCAAAAAAGAACAGTTCCTTCCTCTGTTCCTCCGCAAGATGCTTCCTGTTATTTCACTTACTGCACTTCACTCATCTGTGGAACTAAACTGTCACATACGCAGGTAAAACAATTTTGCAGTTTCGAGCAAAACAAGTCTAGATACTGTGTATGTGTACAGGCAGCCTATGTGTGTCTTGACCTCAGTGCATGACCTATTCTGAGTCATCTGTTACCAGGCAAACTCCAATGCAGCAGGCTGCTGAGTGCACACAGGCCTGTATTCTGTTTACAGGTTATATGTGGTGTATTGTATTGTAAGCATGTATGCAATCCTTTCGTAGCTCGATGCATTTCTCAATTGATCGGGCGGAAGTCGCGCTGCCCGAAGCTTCAGACCATCAACTGACCGAGCTTCAACTCTTTAATTAGCAAAAAATGCAATATGTATAACATGATTACAGTTGCACCGGCAATGAAAGATTATTATGTGATTAAGCTAACAGCTGAAATACAGACTTTAATGTAACATCAACAGTTTCAATAAATGCTTTAATGAAATGATAATAATAAATGATAAGTGATGCAACAGTAATGATAATGGTTATGAATAGTAACAGTAACATAATTGTGATGTGACTTCATTTGTGTTTTAATAACTTAGGTATGGTAAAACTTAAGCTAATAATGACCCAAAAGGTTTCTGGACTTTTTTTAGAGAACCAGTGAGAAGCATAAATCATTATTTCCATGTTTAAGCATTAATCATTGAAATGAACTGAATAGCGTTTAGAAGATAAAATGCCTGTGTTCATGAGAAGCTGAGTAGCACACTGGAGAGGAAACCGTGGGACAGTAGGCGGAAGCAAACACGTGAAAACGGGGGGGCAAATGTTAGGATTAAAAATGGCTAATTTGTTTTTGATGTCTTTTATTAAAACGAGTGGTTTCAATAATTTTCTTACACACCTTGCAAATGTGCTTATAATGAGTTGGCACTCAGTCTTTTGAAGGTCATAAGCTTCGTTCGGCGTGATGGTCTGGACTGATATATTGCAGGTATTGACTTTGAGTGCAGAGGGCTAAATGCATACACGCTTACACACACATAGGATATGATTAGAATAAGTCCCTGGGACATTCTGAATATTCTAAACCAATTCTGAATCACTAGAAGGTCAGTAGATAACAACATTAGATTATTAGACTAGGAGGAGAGGTGTTTTGGTTTTGTTTAGATTAGAACAACATTAGAACAACGTGACAGAAACACATGTATTTGTGGAGATAGTGACATCAGACAGGCAGGGAGCTGTTCTCACACACTGTTTTACTAATCATTGAACAGCAGGGGGCGTCCTCACTGCATTTACAGCACAGCTGGCAGCTCAGACCTGCTCTGCTCTGCATAATAACTCACTGTGGGGTCTATGTCGTAATATTTGTCACAAGATGTTACATAAGTACAAATACCTGTGTGAAATACATGTAGTAACAGTAAAATAATATTCTAATCTCCGCAATACTTTGAATTATTGCTTTTTCTTTATTAACCATACCTGAGTTATTAAAAACACAAATGAAGTCATAAAAATGTTCATATAACCCTTGTTTGATGTCAAAACTCAACTTCCCTCCCCTTTTTTGACACATTCCCATGGGTCAAATCAACGGAGCTAAAAAATTCAAAGAAAAGATTAGTGACCTCATATCTTAGAAAGTATCAGACTTTCTCCTATCCAGTGTCGTTGCTCCAGTCCTGTCATCCTGTGCCAGGGAATGAAGTCAATTTAATTGTCATGTTAGATCTCTTCAACTCCTGGCTCCGCCCAGAGCCTGCATCCGCAGAATCGCCATGAAACAAAACCTGTTAATTAATATGAACTTCACTTGAATATGAACTTTTTGACTACTTTTGACACAGCAAAGGAACATTCTCTCCTCCACGAGGACAGGCACTGACTCCCACTTATCTCCTGGAGCCAACTGTCCCTTATGGAGACACAACATTGCAGCTACAAGGTTTTTGCAGATTGTTAAGTTGATCTGTGTGTAATGCTCTGAATCAAGTATGTAATATTAAATTAATGTTGTTTAATCAACTGCCACTACTTAAAACTTAACAAAAGATATAACTGATTAAAAGATCACAAAGAATAACATGATACTAGTGTTATGTAAGCACGTGCGGCCTTCTATGCTCGAAGTCACTCCAGTCCATAGATCAGCCAAACATCGCACTGACTGTAGCTTTTAACCCTTATTAACTTGAGCACAACTCTATGATGAGCAACAAACTGCAATATGTATAAAACAATCATGTTTACACCTGCAATGAAAGATTATATGATTATCCTAACACCTGTAAATAGAAGATTAACCTGAGGTTATAACAATCACTGTAATACAAATGTTAATGTAATGTCAATAGCTTCAACAAAATGTTTTAATGCAATGCTCGTTATATGATTCTGATGTAATTGTTAGATTTGTATTGTTGATTGTCATTTATGCTTAGAAACATTTACTCATATATGCTTAGAAGTGTATAATCATTTGTAGATTGAAAGAATGTTCCATCTTAAAGGAGGTCTGTATTAACTCTGTGTAGAAGGAAGTGTATTCATTCCTCTAGAGTGTCCTTGGTATAAATCACATACTCCCTAGGAGAGTTTATCTTCTTTTGCTGATTTATGGTATAGCAAGCACATGTATATCTGTTTAAGTATAAGAGCCTTTTGTTAGATGGACTCAGACGTCCTGGCACCAGCTGTGGGGAGTCTTCACAGGGTCACATCTTGACACACACACACACACACACACACACACAGTATTCTTTGTTCACATGTATACCTATGTAAGATGTTATGTGTTAATGACCCTATGCATATTCATGTAACCACAATAAAAGGAGTGCTGTGGGGAACCTGGCGGAGAGTCTGACAGAGGTCAAGTGGGTGGAACGACACTTGGCTCCAGCCAGGTCTCCCTCATGCATGAGTAACAGAAAGAACTCTGGTGCCTTGAGTCTTGCTTTTTGCTGCATAGCAAATTGTCCTTAACGTTCCAGCGAGTAGGTTTATGCTACAAACCTATCATTAATTGGTCCTTCGAGAGCCGGATCCCTAGAGTCGACGTTCACCGAGGGGAAAAGAGACACACCGAAAGACTGACGTCAGCCAGGACTTATAGAGGTCCTGCAACAAAGTCCCGAGGCGTGAGAATTCATCATCGGGCCGGTGGATTAGCCGTCTGTTTTTTTCTCCTCGATGGATGGCGACTGACGGGATTCGGGACTGACGCTACACGCAATAAGCAACTCCAAGTAAGTAAAAAAAAAAAAAAAAAAAAGAGTTTATAGCTATAATTACGTCTTCACCGCTCAGTGGGGTGTTGCCCGTGGCCGCTCAGTGGGGCTAAAATTCGCCGTCTAAGTGGGGCGATGTACAAAGCCGCTCAGTGGGGTTTTTAGTACAGAAGCATTAAGTCGCAGAGTTGCGCAGTTCGAACTTTATTTTGGTTAAAATACAGACTGCTTTGTGGGGTACTGTAGTGAGTTCTCCAACGCTCAGTGAGGTGTTGAGAAGTTCCGCGGAGTCCATTTGTGCTGGACGATAAGCCTATTTTGTGTCAATTTGTTGTTGTTGTGTGAGTGTGTTTGTGTGAGTGCGTGCAGAGCAGAGC